CTTCTACCTCAGTGAAATTTCTAGGATGTCCAGTGGTGTGGAGCACTGGAGTAGTAAAAGATACCTTCTAAGATAAAAGATAAATTGTTGCATCTGGCTCCCCCTATGATGAAAAAGGGGCACTGCATCTAGCAGGCCTATTTGGATTTTGGAAAGAACATTCTCGTCACTTTGGTATCTTACTCGAACCCACTTACTGAGTGACTCAGAAAGCTGCTAATTTTGAGCGGGGCCCAGAACAGGAAAAAGCCCTGCAACATAACCAGGGTGCTGTTTAGGCTGTTCTTCCCCCTGGGACCGCAGGATCCAACAGATCCGATAGTCCTTCTACTTCAGTGAAGAAGCGTTACAAGCAGCAAAGATCTGCTGCTTATGGTCTTCTCAGGGTCTTACCATGTTCCTTACCATCCAGAAGCAGCTGGATTGACAGAAAGGTGGAATGACCTTTTAAAGATACAGTTACAGAAACAGCTAGGTGGCAATAGCTTGCAGGGCTGGGGTAAGGTACTTCAGAATGCTGCATACGCTTTGAGCCAGCACCCTCTGCATGGCACTGTGCCTCGCATACAGAGGATTCATGGATTCAGGAATCATGGGGTCGAGCAGGAATGGTGCCACTCACCATTACCCCTAGTGATCCACTAGCAAAATTTTGGCTTCCAGTCTCCACAACCTTATGTTCTGCTGGACTAGAAGTCCTAGTCCCAGAGGGGGGAAGGCTTGTACCAGGAAGCACAGCAATGACACCATTAAACTGGAAGCTAAGGTTTTCTCCTGGTCACTTTGGTCTCCTTGTGCCTCTGAAGAAACAAACTGAAAAATGAATCACAGTGTTTTCAGGGGTGATTCATCCAGACTGTTCAGGGGAAATTGGATTACTACTCCACAGCGGAGGCGAGGAAGAAGCTGCATGGAGTGCAGGAGATCCCTTGAGGCGCCTCTTAGTATTGCCATGCCTTGTTACTAAGGTGAATGGGAAGCTACATCAATCTAATGCAGGCACAGTGACAAATGGTCGAGAGCCCTCAGGAATGAAGGTATGGGTCACTCCACCAGGGAAAGAGCCAAGACCTGCTGAGGTACTTGCTGAAGGCCAAGGGAATGCAGAATGGGTAGTAGAAGAAGGTAGTTCTAAACACCAACCACAACCCCATGATCAGCTATAGAAGAGGATTATAACTATACTATCCCAGCCCTATATATGGTTTTGTTATTAGATAATATTGATAGATTGAGTACCAGTTCTTAAGGATTATTAAATCTGTGTTAATGTTGAAACATAAGCATCAAGCAAAGAAAACTTGCTTTGATTTTGGTAATGGAATTACTGTGTTTTCATTTGTATGCAACATAGTTATAACAATGTTAGGGGCAATTACATGCATATCTCTGTATATGGAGGCTGGTTTAAAGAAATATGTCTAGTTGCCAACTTGACAAGGGGTGGATTGTAGTGGTCAATACATTGTGTCAACTTGGCTGGATCACCTCAGTGGTTCGATGTCACAGGCCATGGGGCCCTGCCCCGTGGGTCAAAAGGGCCTGTCCCAGAATGACTCAGCTCAAAAAGGGTATATAAAGGCATTGAGGAAGGCTTCTGCACCAATTCCTCGGAGGAGCTTGATCATTGCCTCTTTGGAGGCGCTCGGATCTTTTTTTTTTTTTTTTTTTAAGTTGAAAAACCATTTATTTCACTGGAAAGACAAAAGTGATCCAACTCTAAGTCTAGCCTTTGGGCCAAAAGAAACCCCAGGGCACTGGTGACTCTCTCACTGAGGTCGTTCCCAGATCCAATACCCACTGGAGGCAGGAGACAGGGCAGCCACCACCACAGCTTCTGCATACAATGAGGCCTGCTGAGAAAGCAGAACATGAATGGGAAGCTACAGAAGTACTAAACAGCAGCAAGAACAGGATAATGGGCACTAGAGAGAAAAAGAAAAGAGGTCTGAACTTAGCAAGGTAAATTAAGGTCCACGGTTCCTGAGGGACTGAATGCACAGAGCCGAAAACGTCCCAGAGACGGGGTACTGATGAAGGGTGTATTCTCATGCACAACCGCAGCTCGGAATTTCAGCCCACACACATCCCACCTGGAAACTCGGTGTTATCAAGGCCCCTGCTGGCCTCCACTGCATCTTCTGCCCACTCCACGTGTACAAAGGCATAATCTTTCACGATGTCACTTTTGATGACCAGACCATATTCCTCAAGTTTGGCCCGAAGCTCTTTGTTGGTACAGGCAGGGCTGATGTTACCCACGTGTAACTTGGCTGAAGCCCTGCTCTTGTCTTGCTGGCTTCCACACCGATGTTCACCTCGTGTGACTTACAGTGGTGCAGGTTCCGGATGGCACCCTCCGCCGCTGCCTTGTCTTCTGTGTGCACAAAGCCATAGGTCTTAATGATGTCACATCCCACACCTTGCGGATCTCTTGCTCTGTGGCCCCCTGGGGCAGGTTTCCAATGAACAGCTTCATCACCTTGACCCAGCCACATGGAAATCTGCAGAGCCTCTTCCTCGCAGTGCAGACGCTTCTGACAAAGCACTCCAGAGCTCGGATCATTGCAGCATCTGCCGCCATTCTTGGAGGAGTTCTGATCGTCACAGTCCATGTGAAAGGAAGAGAGAAGCTTGATCGACGCTGCAGCTGCTGCTCCTCCTCTGCTCCTCATTGTTTTCTGCCACCATGAGCTGCTGCCTTCTACCCTGGAGCCAGCCAAGTATGGACTGAAACCTCCACTAACTGTGAGCTAAATAAACCTTTCCTTCCTTAATTCTGGGTATTGAGTATTTTGTCCCAGCCATAAGTAAAAAGTAACTGAGACGCAGATTTAATATAATCTTGATCCAAATATCAAAAGTATTCCTCACAAAGATATTTGACAAAGGGACCAAAAATATACACTGAAAGATAGTATGAAATAAATGAAACTGGGAAAACTATAGCTGTCTATGTGGAGAAGATTGAATCTGGACTCATATCTCTCACTCTGTACTAAATTAAAATAAAAGTGGATCAAAAACATAAGTGCTAAAACAGAAATGCTTCATCTTCTGAAAGGTAAAACTCTGGAATACACAGGGGGAGCCAAGGATTTTCTGAACAAACTCTAATTACACAAGCAATAATATCAAGAATCAACAAGCGTCAAATTAAAAAGCTTCTGAGCAGCAAAAGAAACAACCAACAGAATGAAAAGACAATCGACAGGATGGGAAAACAATTTTGCCAGCTATTCCTTGGACAGAAAATTAATTTCTATAATATATAGAGAGAACTCAAAAAGATCCAATCAAAAAATAAGCACCTGCAATGAACAGGCATGTCTCAGAAGAAGTCCAAATGGCCAATACAAGAAAAATAGTCAACATCTCTTGTCCCTTAGAGAAGTGCAAATTAAAACACAGATTCCAACTCGCTCCAGAAAGAATGACTATGATCAAGAAATCAAGTAGTAAAACATGTTGGTGAGGGGAAAAGAGACCCTCCTACATTGTTGGTGGGAATGTAAATGTTATGAAAATCAGTGTGGCAATTTCTCAAAAGGCTCAAACTAGAAATTCCATTCAACACAGCTATTCCCTTGCAGGACTCTTTCCAGAAGAGTTAAAGACATCTCATTACAATGATTAGTGCCTACCTGCTTGTAGCAGCAAAACTCATCATAGCTTAACCTTGAGGGCAGCCTGAGGAAGGGGCAAAGAAAATGTGGCATTTATACAATATAGAGCACTCCTCTGCCATGAAGCATAAATTTGAGTCACTTGTAGGAAAAGTAGGTGTGTTTTAATGCCATAATTTTAAGTGAAAGAAATCAGTCGAACAAGCTTAAATATTGCATGATTTTTTTTTGAGAAATAAAACTATAAATAAATTAAAGAGCAAAATAAAAGATAGACAACAGGGAACAGGAGAAAAGGAGTAAAATCTTTACAAAAGAGAAAAGGACTATGAATACATGGAGGTGGAGAGGAGGAGAAATGGATTTAAAAAAAAAAAAAAAAAGAATTACGATGTATTAGGTATCTGTACCAACCATCCCCAATGAATGTAATCATTTTGTACAGCAAACTAGTACTCATTAAAAAGAAATAAATAAATAAAGCGGCTGCAAAGCAGATCCTTCTCACAGAGCTACACGCTATGGAAGGGGAGCTAAAGCTTTCCTGAGAAGTGGCCTGGAGTGATGCTTTGGTAGTACCCAATCCGGAGATAGCGGAGGTATAGACTGTGGCCTCTGCCTTTCCCCGGGGCTCTCACTCGTCTCTGTGTCCTAGGGCAGTTTCTGCACCCGCTGCCCTGACGGGTTGGGCGCAAAGCTGCCTGGTGGCACCAAGGAAAGCATGGATGACTTGGTATGTAGCCCCTTCTGGTTTACATCGGCCTCACCTCCCTGCACAAGAGAACTTTAAGGGTCCTGGAAACAGGGTCCACCCAAAACTCTTACTAGGCATCCTGACCCTGAAAAGGACGGGAATCCTTACAAAGAGTCCAGCGTTGGCACTCCGGGTGCCTGGGGTCTTCGGAAGCCTGTGTCTAGGGGTCGGGTGACAGAAGGGCAGCTCTCCTGAAGCAGGTTCAGCAAGTTAAACCAGAGCTGGAAAAAGGCTCCTTGAGGAGCCAGAAAACCGAGTTTGGCTCTGGCTTCTTAGCAGGTTCCCTTTTGTATAATGGGACCAAATTGGGCACGTGTTCAGGGCGTGGGTGGGAATCGCTGAGCTCGGCCACCGAGAAGGCCCAGCGCAGCGCCACAGCACAGCGCGCCCGGAGCTGCGGGCGCGTCCCAGCCCAGGGGGTGCAGCTGCGGACGCGGAGCTGGCGGGGCCCAGGCCTCCGTAACCCCTCGGGGGGACGGGGTC